ATTCTGTAATTATTATTTTTTTTATTACAGGGTAAAACATGAATTAGCATTTCGTTGCCAAGAAAAGTGTTTCTAAGCAAATATTAAATTAGCTCTCACTTCACAACCACATTTCTCTTGTTCTCTACTGATTGCATTGAGTCACTATTGTGAGTAATTCTTGACTCTGTCTTCATGTTACAAGGTGTAAAAAGCAGAGGAATTCTTTTCCATCTCTGTTGAAAGTTATTAAATCTTATGACCAAATGCAATCAACAGATTTCATGGTTATACATAGAGAGAGAGAAAAGTTCCTTTATTTCAGCATTATCTTATGATCAGTTTAGTCAACCCCAATAGAATGTTGAAATTTAATTTCAAGACATTAACTGTGTCAATTTGAGAAAAAAAAATCTATTTCCCATAGAATATCAAAATCTAGAAAAATAGGTTTTGTGAAATTTTTACTGTTTCAAGGAAAAAAAATGACTTTGGAATTTTATTTTTATTTTAATCTTTGAATTATTAATTTGACTTGACATCCTAAGCTTTTTAACAGTTCTCTTTGTTTAATATTACTGTTCAGAACTTAGATGGATATAAAAAAAAAAACAATGGTTAATGATGTTACTGAGGTACAAGTTGAATATTAAGAAATGATTTGGAAGGCAAATGAAGATTTTCATTCAAGAGAGAAAAGGGCTAATATCTAGGCCAAGTTGATTGTATCTGTTTTCAGGGAAATCAATTTTTGAATTCACTTGTGTCAATGGAATACAACCAGTTTTTCAGACTTGCTTTATTATGAATATTTATGAAATACAAATAATCAAATAAAAACCTAACCATTTCACTAATGTAATTTAGAGACAAAGACTACACAGGCAAAATTTGCATACAGAAAGGATTGTTTTTTTTGTGTGTGTGATTATCCACAATACTGTAACAATGAATATTTTCTGAAATAAATCATTATTCTATCAGTTATTTGCACCAGTGTCATAATTGTGTTCTTCATCACAAATTATATGAATGTACATCACTGAATGAATCATTTGTCATAATCAATAAAACTAATAAACAAAGCATTTTTAAACTTTTTCAAAATTCCATGCCTCTATTTAAATGAAGAGAAAACAAGAGGATTCTTCCTTTCTTTTTTTTTTTTTTTTTTCCCTTCAATTTTGAATCCTGTGCCATTTGAAGCTATATAATAAATAGTTTAACACTTTTTTTTTATCTTGAAATAGATAAAATAAGTTTCTTATTGGGCATTTCTTTCATAAAATTTTTTTATTTTGAGGATGATGAATATTTTTTTAAACCAAGCTCACGAATAATTATATTGGACATACTACTCTGACCCTAGCTCAATTAGGATCCATTTAATCACACACACAAACCTACCAAACGTATTCCACCACATACTTCTAAAAAAAAAAAAAATACAAGGACAATAGCCACATTCACATGCAAAAAAGACTAAAAATAATGGAAGCACTAATAATAAAAAAAGAAAAAAAACCAACATTCAGTAACATCAAGTATGAACATGGCCCCAATGTGCTGACCATGTTAGGAAAATAAAATATTCCTATAACTCTAGATACATAAGAAAATTCATTCAGTTAAAAAATAAAAACCATTCTTGATAATGGTTAAAAGAATAATTGAAAGCACTCTGATATGCAGAACATTTGGACAATTTTTAGACTTTATGTCCAGAAAGGAAAACACTTATACGAACATAAGAAAAATTAAATAAAAAGCCTAACTGCAGTACATTGTCAGTTGTCTTTAATGAAATCTGTCTGTCTGTCTGTGTGTGTATATATATATATATATATATATATATATATATATAAACACACGGTTGGGTTTGAGGAGAGTGAGTGACCATCAGCCTGTTTATTAATGGTAGTTAACTGTATCTTAGAATATGTCCAAGTGTGTACAGGGATCTTTTTTCTTTTCTTCCAAATTTAAATTTTTGTTCAGAAGACAAATACAGAATCCGGATTAGAAATTTCAATATGCAAAAGTTACTACCTTTTGCTTGAGTTATAAAGATGTTTAATCTTGTCAAAGTTTTAAAAATTGCATTGATGACAAAGGAAGGAGGGTTGAATTATTTACAAATAATAATTTCATCTGAAAATGTAGCTAATGTCATTCAGTTTGTTGGATAAATTTTCTCATTGAAAATCACCTGCATTTTTATGATCATGAATTTGTCAATGAAAATCTTGTTAAACTAATTGAGTTATTCAGTGTCAAATCAACAAGAGTCTGACCATCACTGACATAGACTTTTCCAAATTTGGTACACTTCTAGAGCTTCATGATAGAAATTGAATGGTACCTATTTTACATTTTTAGTTGAACTGGTTCCTGAGAAATGACCCTTTGACCCTTGCCAAATAGGTGAATTTCGGAAAATAGTCACAAAGTTTAAATATCAATATCTCAGTAGGTTTTCACCCACAAAGAGATTAACAAGCAAACCTGTTATCAAATAAAATTAACGGCACTCCTGAGTTTTCTTAATGTATTTCAATATCGGCTGACAACCAATTACAGTCTTCTATCATTTTTGTAAATATTGCAAATGAATTGCAACTTTTTAATGAGACACTGTCAGTGATTGTTGAATCGCCAATCAAGCATCAAAAACTTGAAAAACAAACCAGTTATGAAGAATAAAAAGTAGGAAAAATTTAAGTAGCTGTATGAAAGAAAGTTGAACTGATTTCAACTAAAATTTCTCATCAAGAATCTACTAGCATTGATGAGCACAAAAGATCTGATGAAAATGAAATTATTGCACAATTAAAAGAAATTTTCAGTTTGTGAAAAGAGGTCCCCAAAAAAGTACAAATTTTGGCAATACTTCCAAAAAGCTGGAGTATCCAAAGAATTCAAATAGAATTTGGTACCACAACATGCATGGCAAGATAAGCCAAAAAATCTTGTAAACGAACATGGAATCTTAACTCTACCAAATGCATGAAAATATAGATTCCCACAAGAGACACTTGAAGTTGTGTTGTTTTATAAGAGTGAAGAAGTCAGCAGAGTGATTCCTGGAAAAAATAACTAAGATATTCTTAAAGAATGGTAGAAGAGTTCAGGAACAAAAGTATCTTGTACTCTGTAAACTGAAAGAGGCATACAATTAAAATAAAAAAATCCAAACAGAATTAGTTTTTCAAAATTTACTGAGCTCAGACCAAAAGAATGTATCCTAGCAGGTGGTTCTGGAACACAAATTTTTATTTTCTATTTTTACATATATTCCAACAAGAAAAATAAGTTTGCATGTTAATCTCTTTGTAAATGTTAGGAATATTTTTTTTTTTTTTTTTTTAAATATTTATTTTAATGCATCACTTTTTCAAATCAAAATTTATTAAATATATATATAAAAATACTGTGGTTACTTAGACATTAGGTTTATAAGTCCTAAAAATTCACTCAGAAGTGTCCCCAAAGGCACATGGCCCAGTTGATAAAAGTGTTGGTTGATTAATCCTAAAAGTGACAGAGAACAAAAATGATGGTGGTGGTGGGGGGAACAAAAACATATCAAGTCAAATTAACTAAAAACTGAGATTTTATGTGGAATTTACTCCATTGGACTAAATGGTTTGATTCAAAATTCCAACAAAAATAACCTGAAAAGAGCTGCAGTATACAATGATCAAAACATCATGAATGTAACAGTAAAGATGAGGACAACAGTTCTAACAATGTAAATAGTGTAAATAGTTAAAATACCTCATCTCAGAAATAGAGACAGATGTTGAAGGTGAATATGGCAATAAAGATGAGGACAACAGTGTGAACAATGTAAATAGTGCAACGTTATAATACCTCATCTCAGAAATAGACAGATGTTGAAGGTGAATATGATAACAAGGGTGAAGACAACAGTCTGAACAATATAAATAGTGTAAATAGTTAAAATACCTCCTCTCAGAAATGTGGATGGATGGCCTTTAGTCTGATAAAGCAGTCCAGTTCCAGCATCAGGCAAGCAACCTGGCCTCCTAAAAATTCACTTGCTACTGAAAATGCTACTTGTTGTAGCTGTGATCCTTTGCTCTACAGGGAGTTTGCAAGAATAAATATTTTGTATCTTAATCATGGCTGTAATAAAATTTTTAATGAAAATATAAGCAATGTAGTACTGTTTAACTGATATATTATCAGAAAGATTGTTACTAGAACTGTTATATAAATCATTAACTGATCTGAATGCTACCAACTCAACACTAAAGATATATTAATGAAAGACGAAATTAAAAATGAAAAAAAGTGTGTGTATGTATGAAGTTATATTTGACTGAGTGGTTAGAATATTCATTTTCTGACCATGAGTCTCTGGTTCAAATCTCACTGTCAGGAAGGTGACTTCTTGATGTTATTGGCCGGGGGTGGTGATCCCAGCGTGTGGCATCATTAGAAAGTGCCTGGAAACCATATGACGGCTTGACTCAAGTCTTGTAAGTGGAATTGGTTAGACAAAATTATTTTGGAGCTGTCAATGGTTGTGCTAGCACAAAGTAACAAGTCATCGTGACTGAGGGTTTGAACATACTGGCCTTGTTCAGATTGTTTCAGTATAAACTGCAGGTGGGCTCTATGTGGGTTAAACAAACACAAATGTGTCTGATCGGGTTTTTGCAACAGGATTGGCTAGCCTACTCTAGTAGATAGGCACACTCATATATGAGCTGCCAGCCGCTATTATATTTGATAACTTTATTAGAGTAATTCCTGATTTACAGTTGTCAATTCAGATTGAACAAAAAGGTGTTGCTGATTATGGGTTTCTACCTTTTACCCTGTCGTTATTTATTTCAAGTTTGTGTTGTAATTGATAATTGCTTTCTTTTGTTTTTGTTTCGTAACCCCAAAAGGATAAGCCTTATCGTTTGCTTCCATGTTTGAATCCTACAGCCTTGTACTTGTTGCATTAGTCTTTCTTGTATCTATGTTTTTATTTCTTTGTCTTTCAGGTTCGAATTGAATCCTACGATTACATTGGTGTTGGGAATTCCACCAACAAGAAAGATGCGCAAGCAAATGCAGCTCGAGATTTTGTTCAGTTCTTGGTGCGGCAGGGAAGTGTGCAGCAGTCGGAAGTCCCATTGGTAAGCATTTGGTTTGTTTTGTTTAAAGATTAGCTTTTTTGTGAATCTTATTTATTGTTTTATTGCCTGAATATGTAAACTGTAGACTTTACATATTCACATTGTCTTTTACAAAAAAGATGAGACGAAAATGATGCCAGCTTCTTCAGCTTATTTTTTCATAACTTCTTTTTCAGCTGATATGCTCTTTAGCCTTTTAACCATGGAAAGTCACCACAAAGACTTAGTTTGTAGATTTTCTTACTAATGTTGTAAATTTCTATTGGAGAGGATTTAGTTCAAGCCCTGCTTAAAAAAACATGCAGCAAAGCTTTGAAGACGTTCATTAACCCACAGATGCTTAACAAATCACTTGGGCCTAAACTGTCATCTTTATATGGTTGCATTAGTCATAACAGGTTGTAATTTCAAGTATTCTAATAATGTGTTTTAAGTTACATTCTTATTGCATAAATAGAAAAATAAATAGCTACAATATTGACAGAAGCCATCAAATCCTGTTTTTCTACATTTTTTTTTGTAAGATTTAGATCTTAAAAATTCTCTTAAAAATTTAGATGCCTGAAGAAATGTGCTTTGGGATATTGGCAACTGTTAAACAGTTCTAGTGAAACTGAAAAAATGGGGGGGGGATTTTTCAATATAGCTATCATTGTAGTATTGTATTCATACAAATTGTTTTTTTTTTTTTTTTTTTTAAGACCTAGAAAAGCCCAGGAGGTGGCACAAAGGATTAGATAGACTAACAATCAATAAAAAAAAAATTCAGAAATGCTGTTTTATACTGTAAAACATAAACAAAGTGATCACCTCCCAGTCATGTGAATTGGACTAAAATTATAGAAATGTAAAGAAAATCCAGAATAATACCTAGACTATACTACAACAGACTCTGGGGTAACTTGGTGGGGAGGTGCAAACAGATGTATGCTGATAGTTAACCTTTAACGTTTTGGAGGTGATTTTGTTTGCAAAACAAAGATTTTATCCTGCCACTGCAAGTGACTCGGATGAATGAATGTTAGTGTGTTTAAATTTTGCAGTTGTGCTGTCATATCCTGCTATGGCAACAGAAAGTGACCATGACTGAAATTAAGTAGTGCAGTAGAGGAAACTTGAAAAACAATGCTGTGGAAAAGAAAGTAGTGAATAATGCAGGGTGTTAAAGGTCAAGAGCAAATTCAAGAGGTTAGAAGATGTCAGAAATTTAAAGTGAAACACATTAAAGGAAGTATCTTGGCAAAAATATCAATCCAAAGAAGAAAAAAAAGCGGATGACAAATGAAATTCTTGAGCTGATGAAATAGACTAGATAATGCCAAGGAATGGCACAATATATAGGATGTTAAACCAAAACATTAGAAAGAAATGCAAGCAGGCAAAAGATGAATGACTCAATGAGAAATATGGCAAGATAGAAATGCTGCAGAACATAGATATAGCAGGCATGTACAAAATGACAAAAATAATGGAACGGAAAACATTCTCTTCAATAGGATGTATAAATGAAAAAAAAATAGTGGGGAACACTCATAAAATAAAAATAAAAAACTTTAAAGACGAGACAGATACATTGGAGAATTCTTCCATGATGGCAGAGAAACACACAATGCATAAAATATGGAATGACGTGCGCTAATAAGATCTGAAGTAAGATCAGCACTCGCCAAGATGAACAGACAAAAAGCAGCAGAACCAAATTGTAATAGAGATATTATCGGTTGTAGACATTTTGGCATTGATAAGATTACTGAAATAAATAAATGAGATAGACAACATTGGTATTATCTTCCTAGGAATGCAAATAAATGTAAACATTCATTGATCAGCTGCATAACTAAACTTATTAGTATTTTAAGTAATAGCACTCAAGGCAGAAATAGGGAAATAATAGTGGATTTTTTCAAGACACTGGAACAAGAAATGTTATCTTTTATGCTATCAAAGTGAGCAATATAAATGCAAAAAAAGACCTAAACTAGGTTTTAGAGATTATGCAAAATGACATTTGATAAATATGACACAAAAACCTATTTGAACTGCTAGGAAAACTTGATTTATATAGAAAAGATATTTGAATACTCTAATATTTACTGGGAACAAATTACCTGCTTGTAGATAAAAAAAAAAAAAAATAATACAGGTATACTGTAAATAGAAAAAGGAGTGAGACAAGGATGCATTTTCTTAACAAATTTATTTAACCTGTACAGCGAGACAATCCTAAGAGAAGTAGGAGACTTACCAGGATTTATTATTGATGGAGACAATCTTGACCACAGAAAATACACCGATGACAATATTGTTAGCAGATTCAGGAGGAAAACTGCAAAAACTCGTAGACAAGGTAGCAAAATAAAACAAGGAAAAAGGATTATGGTAAAAAGACAAAGACAGGAGCTACATCTTGGAGACATCAAAATCAAGTAGGTACATAAATTTTAAATATCTAGGTAGTGTAGTAATAGACAACGTAAAATGACAGACATTTGAAGGCACATTGGAATCCTGAAAGATGTCTTCCAGAAGGTAAACAAAGTATTAGACAGAAAACTTTTGATAGAAACCAAGAAAATGAGTGTTAAACTTCAATATCATATCCAACCTTTAATAGAGAATTGAATGCTAGACGATTTCTTTACAGATAAAGAAGGGATTCAAAGCGACAGATGTTGTTTTGTGAATGCAATACGACATGTGAGTAACAATGAAGTTCTAAATAAAATAGAAGACTGACACTTAAAATTAGTTGACATTTCTGGGATGCATAATGAGGAAAAAGGAGCTTGGGACATTTAATACTTTTAGTATATATTGAAAGCAGGAAAGGCAAAAAAAAAACTATGGCATAATAAACATTTCATCTTGAAATCTAAGATAACTTTAAAATGTCAGTAAGTTTCATGTAATGAACATACAAAGGAGAATATGAAAAAATAAAATGATTTTGTGAAAAGTCATTTTCTGAAAGGAGGTTTTAAAAAAAAATATCTGGCTCTTGGTTTAATTTTTTTTTTTTTTTTTTTTAAAGGTTTTGTCCTTGACTGTTACAATTTTAAATTTGCCTCAGAAAAAAAATCAAGTTAAATTAACTCATCTGCTGGGAGAATGTCAGAATACTATATCAGATTTAATATATTTTACAGTTAGTCAAAATTACATCTATTTGTGAGGCAAGGTTCATACTCTGATTAGTTAATTTTAGTGTGAATATATCTGCCAATTTTTCAGCATTTCTTGCTGGATTCACTTCAACAAAATATCTCAGAGCCATCATTCTATCATCGTTATTCTTACATAAATCTGTCTACATACAATTTTAATGTTTATGTCTTTGCATTTTTGTACCATTAGCAATTGACAACATAATGTTTAAGCTTTTTGTTGAATTTGCACTGCTGTCAAATAAGTCATTTGATATTGGATAAAAACTTTTAAAGGAAATTGTCCAATGTGTGTGTAATAGTATCCAAAACAGTGAAAAATCTATAAATGACACATTTCACTGATGTCTGTTAGTCTCAGCTTCTTTAGGTTGGATTGAGACAAAACTGTGTAAGGAAAATCTGTTGGGTTTTCTTTTTTTTTAGGATACCAGAGACCAGAAGGTGTTTGCTTTTATATAATATATATTAGAATAGTTGGTGTCTGTCTATATTTTTGAGATATGGCATTATGTACACTATTTACATTATTCGGACTATTGTCCTCATCTTTGTCATCATATTTATTACAACATTTCGGCCGTTGTACACTCCTGCCTTCTTCACCTGTAGAAGGCCAGATCGTACAACAACCGAAATGTTGTGATAAACATGGTGACAAACATGGTGACAAAGATGAGGACAACAGTCCAAATAATGTAAATAATGTACAGAATAGTTGGTACCTGTTGGATTTCAAGTCCGCCTACTCTGAGCAAGTAAATCCATTTGTTGTGTGTGTGTTGTTGTTGTTATATTTTTTTTTTTTTTTTTTTTTTTAATGAACTCGTAGAAAAAAAACAAAAGCAGATCTACATGGAGTGGATTGATATAAATTCCAACATATATATATGTGTGTGTGTGTGTGTGTATGTATATTTTGTTACAATGATGCATTTGTATAAAAATAAAAAAAAGAAAAGAAAAATGTCTGCAATAAGGTTAAAATTTAAAGTAAGGGATTCTACTGAGTCCTACATGTTAATACAAAAAAAAAAGTTTTCATTCATGAAGTAGTTGTAAAATAGAGAAATTAGAAATAGAACGTTTGGAAGATTCTAGATCATTCCAGTATATTGGAGAAAAATCTAGATGATTCGAGAAACATTTAGAAGAATGCTAATTAGGTGCTAGCCCCTATAAGAATAGGTTTTTGCAAAGGAGTTGTCAGTTGTAAAAAGGTATTTCTGCCATTATCAACTCTGGCTTTTTGATTCGAGGATTAATATATCCAGCCAAAAGAATCTCTAAGAAAAGGTGCCGACTGACAAAAACCCAAAAAGAGAACCTCATGGAACAGATCTGGTAAATAGTTTTGACTATTTTCATTGACCATTTTCATTGACCAAACTACAAATTAATCTATATATACTCACAATTGGGGATTTCCAGCAATAGCACTTAGATTACTTTGCTAGTGCTAACGTGGTAAAGATACTTGACTCACCTTCCTTCTCCTTTGTAACACTTTGCCAATAAACTCTGTTTTCTGTTGTGTATGTCACAATTGTATATCTTGAATATATTTTATCTTGTGTTTTTGTACATTAAATATTTGTTTGTGATTTAGCTCTGTTTTGGTAAATCATTTTTTTTTTCTTTGTTAAAATTTCCAACGTGCCTCTTTTGGACTATGTATCAAATTTTAAAGAGAAATTATCTAATGCTTTCAAAATAGCACAAGAAAATTTAATAAACACCCAAATTAAAATTAAGTCTACATACAATAAAAATAGTAAAAATCGTAAATTTGAAAGTGGTGACAAAGTTTTGGCATTTTTCCAACTCCAAATCATC